AGAGAACTAGTGAGCGGCACTCATTCATCGCACGTAAGATGGCTAAGTTGAATATAAGTGTTGTGTATCTGGATGTCTCAGGAGTGGGCTTTATTTTGACCTGACAGTGCCAGCTGTCAAGGCAGTTTCGATCTGGTCTCGGAACCACTCGGGGTTGATTCGAGGTTGAGAGTTGAGTCACAGTCCGGGCTCCTCGTTGAACTGATGAATCGCGATGCGCGTTCCAATCTGCCCATAATCCAGCCAGCACTTTTTTAGTGCGAAACACAACAAAGTGCAATTGAAACTGCTAGTAGCCAACTCTTGTTAACCGTGATAGATAATCTATCATAGATTCGAGAAGGATTTGGGATGGCCAAGCCATGCGATCTTTGCACTGGTATACTGCCAGTGGCACTCCGGAGAAATTACAAAAACATACGATAGCTGAAGTAACTACCGATACCATTGGAGTAGGCTTGGAGTTAAAGACTATATTCCCCATTATCAATTACATTCGTGAGCATGAACTCCTCAGGAGTTGCTCCTGCCAATCGGAGCGATGGGTCTTCACATCCTCCAAAGCAAGGGCTGGACTTGCTTTTAGCTGTGGGCTAAATCGCGTTCCAGGCGTAAATGCTCATTGCGATCCATCATTTCCTCAATCTCACGAATCTGAAGAACGTGTATCGTCCCTTCGAACGGTCGTCAGCACAATGGATGGACCCCGACTGTTCTACTCTGAATAGACTACTCACCCTTTCCTCGACGGTCTGAAGGAGTTCCTTAGCGACTTCTAACTGCCTTCTGTAGTTGCTCGGCTTCCCCTCTTCTTCCCTCAGCTCGCTGTATCTGAATGCGGGCCGATCAGTGAGCCAGGACTGAATGGGATCTACTTTATGTGAATGGGAATCATCCTTGATGGTACGCTACTAACTTGCTTGATAGCGCGGAGCCTTTCCTTCTCCCTTGCGACTTCCTAGGACCAACCAATGATCTCGTGACAATCTCCTCCCTCAGCATATCCAAATGGGAAAATGAGTTCTTACCTCTTCAACCGTCATGCCCTGCGGCTTCGGTCGTCCAAAAAACTCCCCGAAGACATGCTCAACGGTCGCGTCGGACCTAGAATGAACCCAAACGTTTAGCCAATCGCTTCTTGTGACACATCGTTCATTCAATAAACTTCATTGGTCTCATCAATGCCGCAAGGTAGGACGAGACACCACAGAAGATCATCGAAATAGATGTCAGGATACTCAGTTACTCACCCAGGAGCATAATCGGAACCGATCAACTTGAACTTTCCGTTCCTGCTACCCATGAAATATTGGGTAGAGTCGTTGGTGAATGTGGTGTCTCCATACTGCATAACATGACTAAGAGAAAGCAAACTTGACTGAGTGAATTCCTGCGGTCCAACCTGAAAGTGGTTTCGTTTTTGACCAGGTCATATTGCTGCTCCAGAGTCTCATTGTAGCCAGTCGCGGAAAGGAAGTCTTCATTCTCCATCCAGTTTACAGAGAAAAGGTCTCCGAGACAGACGCGAAAAGATACGTTAGCAACCACAGCATGCTGAAGAAAGAACGGCCATCTATTTCGCCGACATGATGTGGGATGAGGATCAGAATCACTCCTACTGGAAAACAGTACGTTCCAATACTTGACTCCTGTGCATTGGAAGCTGTGACGTAATATCTGCCAAATATGAGAAGTCATGCGCTCCCGGTTTCGCAGACGAACGGCATGCCCCAGTATGGCACCCTTACTGGCCCGGAATAGTAGGACTCCCCGCGAACAAACTGCCAGCTTCACATGCCTCGACATAGAACACCAACTGTTTATACCTGAATGATATTTTGTGTGTCGTGCGAATGACTGTGGAATTGCAAGCCACATCTTTTTCTTCTCCATGGTCGTCAACCACGATTGAAGTTGTGCTTCAGTTATTTTCTCAGCTGGGAGGTAAATCGTACTCGCTGAGGAAGAATCACTCAGATAATCTCGATGATGCTTCGAGAATTATCTCACGATCGCCGTGACCCACAAAATTGATGAAGACGTAATCGTTCTCGGTGCTTTCCAGAACTTTCCCCGATGCTAGCGACTTATCGCCGGTTAGAACCTGCAATACTATTGAATGTTCCTGCTATTATTGTTGTTGCATGCAGAAAGCAACCATTCTTGCAATGTTATCGCAGCAATAGCAAGAATGATTCCGAGGCTGAGGGAAGCATATCTTGTGTAGGATAACTTATTCTGGATAAGAGATGGACTCGCATTCAACGAGACTCACTCCTTGTAAGTTTTTGACCGTGACCTCCTCGCCACTATAGTCTATCTCGCAACCTTTATAGACATCAACGCCAGGGCGGGCACCTTGAAGTGAGGGCTCATGGGCTCCTTAGGTGACGAACGAGCCCACCCGTTGGTTTGTTAAATAGTTGTCCCTTGAAAGGGTTATAACGGTGATTGACAACATCATTATACCTGGAGTTGACAGGAGAGGAAACAGCTGGCAGCAGTGTGCTAGGGAGGTCTCTCTTACGACAAAGTGATGATGTGCTCCTTGGGTACACCATTTCCTCTGAGAATCTGATACGCATGACATAAGTCAGCTTGATGTCGGTAGTTCTTATAAGTGTTGGAACCGGCGATGAGGACCTAAGCAGTCACACAATATATAGTATATATTGTAACGGGAACAGTATATAATATATACTGTTCCCGTTACTAGTCTCTCAAATGATATGATGATTCCCTCAATCACTGCACTCACAGCCCAGTGGTTTGCAGGTATATCGTTGTCGACAGATACATTCTTGTCCTGAGACAGTGAGTAGCCGATTGATAAGATAGCGGAGAACAGCATAATGAGAGTGTAGTGACGTGTCATGATGCAGGAAAAAGTTATTCTTTGGAGAGTCACCAAAACGACGATAATAGTAATTAAACGGAAACCCGACGAGGTTACCCAACTTCGGAGACGTCACGCCTCCAGAGTTGATCCTTCGGCATCAGGCCGTAGGTTGAAAGATACCAATAAACTATTGGCAGTAGTCTCTATGGCAAATATTAAGGTTGTTCCAAGGGCTTACTCGATGGAATAAGTTAGACACGTGCGACTCTTTTAGACTTGTGACGTGTGGCACGTGTCGCGTGTAATTGAATTGCCTTTCACTCACATACGATCAACGTCAATCACGAACTGTGTAGATCACATGTTTAATGCATTATAGCACGTGTTGTGGGTCCAGTTTGCCTGCACCCTCGTTATCTCATCAAATCTTCGCTCTCTCAGAGAGCGTCACCTCTCAGAGAGCCTCTCTGCCGTGCAGGCTGGTCGAGCATCAATAACGGTCGGGTCGATTCGGTAGAACGAGGATTCATTCCGATCAGGTCCGATGAAACGACCGAAACGTAACGGCTGAAGTTAACGGTTGACAACCGTTAACGGAACAATTGTGAGTGAGGTCAGTTACACCCGTAACCTATGACGAGAGTCCACGAGCACTAGGTTATGACGATAAACCTCAAGATATCCGAAAGTTTTGCAGAAGAATACTTCACTGAGATACTTCAAATGTTATTCTTGAGATTTCTCGAGAGCTCCTCGGCGAGGAGCTCGGCCGTGCCGGACTTGGATTTGACAATGTCAACTGGGCATTGACGTTCTTCTTGGCCGTGACACTGTCACGACATGTGTGCGTGTGTCACGCACGACGTGTAGCACACGTGTCATGCGTTTCGTAACCCGGAACCTCGAGGAGTTCCGCGTGTAGGTATCTTGGTTCGATTGTGGTGTGGTCTAGAACGGACCAGCTTTCCAAGTGTAATGCTGCACTCACAAAACTGAGATTGGCATCCCTGATATGGAGAAGCATTACAGGACTGTTTCCAGTAGGTTGCCCAACTTAATCGATGCTCGGCCGCCTTCTCCAACTCGTACTTCTCGGTGGTGTCCTAGCCCGCGAGCCCGATGACTCATATTCCAAGACCGTGGCTAAACTTTATTGATATATACATTGAATTTGTTACACTTCCAGACAGTGCTCGAAGAGTGCAGATCACTTCCTCCTGTGGATTGAGTGTCAGACCAGCTAAGGCGACCTATTCTGCCCATAAGCAGTCGATGTGCTCTACAAGATACGTATCATGGATATGGGGGCTGGCTCCCAAATCATGCGTGGAAACTTCGACAACTTATTTCGTCGAGGACGCCCCTGAAACAGTCTCAGTATTTGCCATGGAGACTATCGGTATCTTCCAACCTACGACCTGATGCTGAAGCATTGGAAGCGAGTCAGGTTCCGAACCTGGAGGCTCGGGAGTACTTTGTCATACAGCAAATACTCTGGGGTCCTTCAGGACATGCTTAAGTTACACCTGAATTAGGTGTTTGGTTATACGCTCTTATAATCTTCATGTCAAATAAGGA